TGATATGGTTGGCCAAAATTGTCATATAGCAAAGAGTGATTTGTAGAATATTCTGTATAAATATCATGCTAGAGGACTATGTGGGGGTTTTTTTTGTTTATTACATCTGCAATTAGCAGCCTGTGTTGTGTATATTTATATGCTGGGTTTGACCTTTTATCCTATTGCATGTTCTGCAAGTGCAGACACTTATTTTGACAGTCGCACAACCATTTGTCACTGAGCAAAACCTGCAAAAGAACCTGGAATGATTTGTGGAACATAGGTTGCTTATACGTCCCTCAGAAGCCTTCTGATGAAAGCAGAATGGCACCTCATTTATTGTTGTAAACAACAAAAAGCCTATTGTGCTAACTGCTGCTAATGTTTGAAGAGGGCTTTTGCTCCAAGACATGATTTGAAGTATACTCTGTTTACTTGAGGTTACTGCTGGCAAAGGTTTTTCCATCACCACTTAATTTTTTCCTGCGGTTATCTTGTTCATGTTTCTTCTTCTGACTTTTATAGGAGCATGGCCATAACATCTTGACAAAACACTCTGCAAAATGAAGTTGAGCCTAGTATATCCAGGCCTTGTAGAAACAGTGAATTCCCAACAGGATTTGAAATTGTCAATTAGTGCTCCTTGCAGGCAAACTAATCTACTATGAACTTCAGAAGTTGAACGTCCGAGGCGTGACTTCAGAGTACTTCAAAGAAAAATGGCTTTGTCAATAGGAACTGTAATATACTTAACTTAGAGATAAGGTGTAAAGTAGAATCCAGAGACATATATTTTACAATGCTCTCCACTTTTCCAAATAATTTAAGTATCAGTGGAGAGAACGATTCCTACCTCTCTAGAAACTCCTAATGTGAAACTCCTTTTCACTTGAGGGAGACCATTACTGTATGAAATTGACTTTGTTCACTGACATGCAGTAGAAGAATTGTTGGGAGTGTGGAGGTGGGAGAGGTGGTGAGAGTGGGCTGGTTATTTTCCTTGCTAGTGTTTGCAGATGTGCTTGGGTTCATCTGCATTTAGAAACTTTGGGCTCATTTTTTGTATTTAAGCCAAATTAAAACTTTGTACATGAACTGTACTAGGAGGGTTAGTGAGTCTTGACCTCGTAAATCATTTTCCTTGATAAAAAGAGGCTAAATTTAGTAGCTGGCGGAGACGTTCATCAGTAAAGCCTAATAGCAGTTCCACTTAAAAGTAATTGTTCTTCTTTCTTGCCTGATGCGATCAGTAATTCTGAATAGGGCTGAACAATAGCAGCAACTGCTTGTACAGGAAAACATTGTCTACTGTTGTGAATATATGTCTGGCATGAATTTCTCGGTGTCTTTCGGGAGACTTTGCATACTTAGTGGTCCAAACTGTGTAGGTGTAATAATAGTCCTAAATTTTTAGGCATATATTTGTAAGAGTGGTAAATCAGTTATATTTAATGCAACTGATAGCTTAATTTAATTGCATTTAAAGTAGGGTGAGTATTCCATAATTTTGAGAATGTCTTTACTGTAGTTAAGATGGGATCCTGAAACTTTGTGGAGAAATAATTGGAAGGCACTACAGGCTGCCTTTCAGAATGGACTTTTGACTGCTTGTATGGCTTCTGCTGCCTGTGCTGCAGGCCCTATTTCTAAAGGAAGTTAACTAAAGTAGAGATGCCATGGACACCTGCAGTTCGTGGGTTACTGCTGTTTTTCCTAGCTGACTATATCAGGCCCCAAAAGATTCCAGTTACCAGCTGAGCCCAGATCTTCAAGGTGTTCAGGTGCAGAGAGACATGCCCAGTGCTATGTACTTATTGAGGTCCTAGAACCTTTGGCTTGCACTAAAGTGGAAAGGATAATGATTGTCTCATCGCTAAAAAAAATGAACCATACTTTAAGTAGTTCCCTGAAATGCAGACTTAGGTATCCAAATTCAGACAGTTGCCTCTAATTGTTGGTCTTGCAGTCTAAACAAGGACAAGACCTAGCAAAACAAAAGCAAGGAGTTAGAAAAATGAGATGGATACCAACAGGACTCTATGGTTTTGCTAGGTAATTACACACACATATTTGATTCTTGTTGGATGTTAATTACATGTGTTTTCAGATACTGCAGAAAGAGCAGACCTTTCGGGGGATTTGCATTCATGGTGGCTTGACTGAATGGGACTAATGACGTTATTTTGGCAAAATCATTTTTATTGCCATTCTATAAAGACCAGAAAATGTAAAACACAGTACCAAAAGTCACAGGTGAAATGCTAGTTTTACTTGAAAAATGGTGAATGCGTATAATTGAAATTGAAAAGATCTCTCTGTAGGAAACCAGGGCTGTGACTTTTTTATGTAAACTTGTATTCTAATACTCTTTGCAGGTCTGCTTTCTCATTTTCAAGAGTAGCCTGATAACATCTGGCATTACTCCCTTAAATCCTCCTAATTTTGTGTTTGATTAAACATGTCCCATTCTAGTTAAGGCCCATCAGAGAGGCAAAAATAAAGCATATTAAATATGCTTGCTTCAGATGTTTCTCTAGCATTTTATATGTAAAAGTTTTTGGCTTGTGTTCATATTAAAAGTAAAGACAAGTGAACAAATAAAACTGTGTCCCTGTAGCATTTTAATGAGGACTGTTCTTTGAAAAGCAGTTTTCTTGAAGAATGATATCCATCTAAAATATCATTCCTTTCTTTTATGGTAGTTCATTAAAACACTTGCTGATAATGAGCTGCTGTTTGCAAGTCCAGTAATAATAACTTTGCCACTAAGTTTGCCTAAGGGCAGCTGGAAATTTTTGCATTCAGGCGAAATAGCCAAGCAGCATGCTGACTTGCCTTAGTTGTCTGCTCAACATTAAATGAAAGGCCACGCCTCCCGAAGATGAGCATGCATTTGAAGCTCATATTTTTGTAACATTTTATAATAGGTGAAGTTAGGAATCTTTGGATTTAGGACCCAACTCCTGTCTGGTTTTGTAGCACTGTGTCTCCATTTCAGTGAAGCCAGCTGACACTAGCTGGAGAATTTGTTCTTTCTTTTTAATTTTTTTTTTAAGACATGTTTTATGGCAATTTGGATAAGCCAGAGCTGCTCTTGAGTGCATGATCCTATTTTGTAGATTTTTTAAGACATAAAAAATTGAAGCTATTCTACCCTGGCTTCAGGAGCTATGAGGCTGAACGCTCCTTTTTGCCTACGTATGAGGTTCTAAGTATTAATTGTAATGAAATGCATTATCTGTATTTGCATGTATTTTATCAGGTAGGAGGTCTTGCAATAAAATTGACTTATTGATTGTGGAAGTGAATTGTGTGATTAAAATAAAAATTGTTTGTAATGACTAGAATAAAGAAGATTATGAATAATGATGCTTTAAAAATGGAAAGACTTTCTGTTGTAGTGCCTGTAGTTGAGTTCATTTAACTGTGAGGATTAGTTTTTTTCTTTCCAAAAACTGTTCTCTACAAAATGTACCTTATGCTTGTTTTTAAGGCTTGCTTTTAGTTTCAAACACCCTTTCATCCCTGGTCAAACTTGTTACAGGTGTATAAACAATCCTTGGTGCCATTTCAGTGGTATAAAGAAAATAAGACCCCAAAAAATTTAATTTGCATTTAACAGTGGTAGATTGGCCTAATTGTTTACTTCTCTAAATTCCCTTGCCAATTACTGTACTTCCCTCTGTGAGGCCAATTTCTGCTACTACACAGTGAACCATATATGATCAGGCACAGTAGGAGTGAAAATTTTATCTTTGTGATGTTAGAAAATGGAGGAAGTAGGAACCTGAGTTTGTAGCAGTAGGACATTCAACATGCAAATGTTTGCTGTATGTCTTCCATGTTATGAAGTCTGTGGAAAGTATTATTTATGGAGAACATCTGGCTTCTTGCTTCTCTGCTTTATGGTACTTACCTACTCAGTGTACTAAGAAATGTCTACTACCGTTTATTCCCTTTTCAAAATCTTGTCTAATCAGCTCTGCCAAGTGTGGATTCTTTATCTCATGCTGATGTCCTGTTGACGACATCTTGTGCTCATAAGTCAGTCTTGAACAAAGGCTCTCAATGGTTTGGTCTTGAGTTAGCTCAGGATCTATGACTGTGCAAAGCTGGGGAGCAAGTTTAGTAAACGTACAAAGCTGAAAGCAGCCAATTTTTTGGTCAAGATTAATGGTAGCAATATTGTAAAAAAATTAACAGTGTGACTTAGGTGTTTTGATACAAAAAGTGTTTTTATCTTCCTGCCTCCTCCTCTGTTTTCAATTATTCCCTTCCTGCTACTTCTGTTACAGCATGTAACGTCTTCTCTGGACACTCGGGCTCTGTAGATCTGGTTAAACTGTTTATTGCTGTTACATCACAAGTCTTGGTCATGCTTGATGAGAGAGCAGTTTGAAGATCAGCTCCGTTTGTACCACTCTCTTATTTTTATTCATTTTTCTTTTGGTACTGAGCTGTAACAGATCACCAAGAGTCTGTGTGGGTACTAAGGCCAGCCCAAAGAAGGGACAGAAGCACACACATCAAGCCAGGAGAAATGGAAGTTAGAGGGGACAGTGAGCTCAGCCTTCTCCTAGAAACTTGTGCTGATGGTGGCCCTGGCTATAGTAGAAACATGATGTAAATCATGACAGCCATCAGCTTAGCCTTGGCTGCGTGATTCTCCCATTTTCCTTGCACTTGCATTTGTGTGATTGTTAATTGTTTTTGGAATAGACTAAGATGAAAATTAGTAGGGTTTTTTTCCTGTCATTTTGTTTTCAGGCAGAGTTTTTCCCCTGAATCAGTTCACAGTCACAAAGTATCAGTGACTGCAAAAGAAAGGAGGCAGGATTTATGGCAGCCTAACTGCCCTCTGACTTTCAAATGACAGCTAGAGTGTGATTAAATGATTCAACTGGTAATTTACAGATATGTATGTGTGTAGAATTAAGTAGAAGATTCAATATGAGGCTTGATGTCATGTTGCATGCAATTTTCTGTAAATCATATTTTTTTAATACTTTATTTTACAGTTGCTGCTAACTTACAGAAGATAGTAGATGATCCAAAGGCCTTGAAAACATTGACTTTTAAGTTGGTAAGTAAAAGCATATAGGGAAGAAACAAACTAGTTATCACAGTATTCATACAGAGTCTGGATTTTACCTCGTTTATAGCTATTTTGCTGAATAAATGTGTTGACAGATAAGATGATTGAAATTGCCATGTGTGAGAGAAAAAACCTAAACCCTATTTTGACAGGACATTAGGGATATGTACAGTCATACAGCTCCATAACTGTTCAGGGGGAAGGAGGTTTATTCACATGAGTTCTGAGGAAGTCTGAGGTTTAGGTGAGAAACTGCAGGGAGAAAACCCCTGGAAAGAATTGCAGAAACAAGTAAAGCAGAGAAAACGGTAGTTGTTAGGTTAAGTCCTCTCCACTCCCACTCCCTCAGCTCTGCCCTGGCTGAAGTGTCTTCTGGTAATGGACAATTTGTTCCAATCCCATTTTTCCAACATCTGCCCCCATTTTTCTTGCATGCAGGTCGCTCTCTCCACTGCTTGCTTGTCCTTAGTTCTTCCCTTCAACCTTCTTCCAATTGACCATCCACACTTGCAAGTTGATCTTGCTCCTACTGTATTTCATTACTGTTTCTCCCTTCCCACCTCTTTCTGTCTAGTCTATATACAACATTAGACCCTGGGTTTTGGCCTGGGACTGTTTTCTGTGCTGCATTTTGTGCCCTGGACCATGGGTCCTAATTTTGGTTGATTTTGATGCTATCATGATAGATCTAATTTAATATTAATAAATTTACATTGCAAAAACTCCATTAATAATTGATGTGCTGTATTTGTTTTTACTTCTTGCTAAAATTAAGTTGAAAAATTTACATACCTAAAGCTATTGAATGATTAGCTACGTAAATACCAAACTCTTACCAATCAGCTTTCAGCACCCCTTGCTGAAAGTGACTCAGCCGCCTATGAAAGACTAGATTGAATGTCTGTTAGGTAAGCAGGTCTCCAGAATCAGAGCTTTGTTTATAAAGGCAGCTGCTTCAGATGGGCTGTAGAGTGCCATTTTTAGAGAGTGACCTAGTTGATGATAATGTATTAATTCAGGATTGTTCTTCCCTTGTCATTTTTTAAATACAGATTTGAGTAGTTTTAACTGACCAAATCATTTGGACTCATTTTTCCTCTACAGTCCAGTAAAATCTCCAGAACTCTACCCATTTATTTTGAGAAGGGGTTGGAGTGGGGGCATAAGGACATGTGACTCAAATTGTTTTGTTTCTGTGGCCCTTACTATCTAAATATAGCTTAAAGGCTGATGCTTCTCTTTTTGCAGCTGATCTGTGTTCTTGCTGTCTAAACATCTGACTTAGCTTTATTGTGTAGTCAATGGCATCTCACCATGAACATTTAGATACATAGATACTCCAGAGGCTCTATAGAAATCTGAGTTTCTAGGTCACACACTTAAAATAGAGGCTTGAGATTCCAAAATGTAATATCCCATAATATCCAGTTAATGTTTATATACGTTGAAAACAAATCCACTTGAAAATTTAGGTTTGGGTATTTCTGTGATTCAGCTGGATTTATTGCTGAGGTGCAGTCAATGTCACGTGGTATTTCAGATTCTCGTGAGTGAATGCTTCTATAATACTACTCGTTACCATAATCAGAATTAATAGACAATCCAAAATCAAGGTCTTTGTCCCTTTTCAAGGTAAGTTCCATTGGCTAGGTAACAATTCCTGAGGTTAATCTTTAACCTAGGTTTCCTGCATTAGTTTCCTACTTCCCAGGTAAAGAACATAACCACAAGAAGTATCCTAACTTATTCTTACCCTTGGATTAATTTAATATATGTTCCATTCCTGCCTGTTTCTATATTGTGTAGTGGAGTTGCTAAATGAATTGTTGCCTACAATAACTCTGTCATTTGTTTGTATGCCCTACTGCATCTTTGTTACTTCTTAGCAAGGTCTCACTGAATTTGAGAGCACTTGTATGCAACTTGATTAAAACATACTTTGTTGCTAAATATTTCATGGGGATTCAAAGTCTAAATGTAGTTAATCCAATATCCATTCAGAGAAATCAATTGAAATGTGCTCTTTAGTCTAGGATTAGTTACTACTATTTGTGGGTGAGGAATCTGGTTAGTATCTCACTGCTTGCAGATTGCTTTTGCTGGTATTTTGCTGGTATATAATATTTCTATTCAAACAGCAAGCATTTTCATCTCTGGGGAAAAAAGAAGAACTTATGTCTTAACCGTTTTTGTCTTTAATTATTGCCAAAATGGTAAAGAAAGTTATTAAAGTGAGCTGCCTGGATGAATCTGTCTTTAAGGTTGTGTGGTGGATTAACCCTGGCTGAACGCCAGGTGCCCACCAAAGCCATTCTATCACTCCCCCTCCTCAGCTGGACAGGGGAGAGAAAATATAACAAAGAGTTTGTGGGTCGAGATAAGGACAGGAGAGATCACTCACCAATTACCATCACAGGCAAAACAGACTCAAATTGGGGAAAATTAACTCAATTTATTGCCAATCAACCAGAGTAGGGTAATGAGAAATAAACCTAAATCTCAGAACACCTTCCCTCCACCCCTCCTTTCTTCCCAGGCACAACTTCACTCCCACATTCTCTACCAAGCCCCCCCAGCAGCACAGGGGGATGGGGAATGGGGTTTACGGTCAGTTCATCACACGTTATTTTCTGCCGCTTCATCCTCCTCAGGGGGAGGACTCATCACACTCTTCCCCTGCTCCAGCGTGGGGTCCCTCCCACGGCAGACAGTCCTCCATGAACTTCTCCAACGTGTGTCCTTCCCACGGGCTGCAGTTCTTCACAAACTGCTCCAGCATGGGTCCTTTCCACGGTGTGCAGTCCTTCAGGAGCACACTGCTCCAACATGGGTCCCCCACGGGGTCACAAGTCCTGCCAGAAAACCTGCTTCGCGGGCTCCTCTCTCCACAGATCCGCAGGTCCTGCCAGGAGCCTAATCCAGCACGGGGTTCCCACGGTGTCACAGCCTCCTTCGGAAACCCACCTGCTCCGGTGTGGGGTCCTCCCCAGGCTGCAGGTGGATATCTGCTCCACCGTGGACCTCCCTGGGCCGCAGGGGGACAGCCTGCCTCACCAGGGTCTTCCCCACGGGCTGCAGGGGAATCTCTGCTCTGGCGCCTGGAGCACCTCCGCCCCCTCCTTCTTCACTGGCCTGGGGGTCTGCAGGGTTGTTTCTCTTACATGTTCTCACTCCTCTCTCCGGCTGCTGTTTCCATCTGTCCCAACTTTTTTTCCTTCTTAAAAATGTTATCCCAGAGGCGCTACCACTATCGCTGATTGGCTCAGCCTTGGCCAGCAGCAGGTCCGTCTTAGAGCCGGCTGATATGGGCTCTCTCGAACACAGGGGAAGCTTCCAGCAGCTTCTTACAGAAGCCACCCCTGTAACCCCCCCCGCTATCAAAACCTTGCCACACAAAGCCAATACAGGTTGGATCTCCCTCTTGCATATTTTTTTAACAGTGCATCTTTGATCTTGTAATGATGTCATTCTACAGAACATATAGAGTATTAAACCTCCCTTAGTTGACTTGGCTAACACAAAATGATGACTTCTCTGCAGTTATCCAGCTGTCCACACTTTGGGAAGCAGGCTGCTTTAATACACAAGTAATCTTGGCAACACTCAAGGAAACACAAAATTATTGCGCAGCATAATTTGCATTTTATGTAAGTTTTTTTTCATATGAAAAAGGGAGGAAAAAAACATTAATGGAAGAATGCGTTCAGTCACTAAACAGTGAATTGCAAATACTAAGAGCTTTTCTTCTATGTTGCAATTTGTGTATAGTAGTTGTACTTATGCTAAGCACAAAATATAAGCTAATAGGTTCCAGGCGCATTAAATATTAGACAATATTTATTGAGAAGGAAGGCATTTAAAAATTTATATGCATCTAGATATGTTACTTAGCATGGCTTTGAGGAGATTGATAGCTAGCTAGAGTGTAGAATGATGTTAATAGTATTAGCTCTTTTTATCATGGTACTTTAAGTGCAAAATTCAAACTCTCTTTATTTAGTAAATTCCTAATCCAAAAAACATTGAGCTATCTTAATAGTAACTGATGGTGATGATCTCAGACCTTTAACTTGCAGCTTCAGTGGAATAAGACCTGTGAAATACTCTCTGAAGAGAGAACTTCTTTGTGTCTGATCAAAGTAAATTTGAAGGAGTAGCCTGACGTAATGCTTCCACAAGTACTGAGTGAGTTTATTTTTGGTCATGAAAGCTCAATGGATAATGTCAGTTAGTGCACTGAGAGCTCTTTTCCTTACATTGCATATACACAAACCAGTTCTACTAAAGGATTCAACTGCTACTAATGCATAAAAGGATCAAGAGCATTTTTTAGGGTGAACCCATTGTTTTGATGGTTTTTTGGGGGATATGCCAAAGGGTCTGAAGGCATCTGTCATAAGTAATGTACCATTACATACTGTTCATCCAATTGTATTACTATTTGATTTATCTGTGACATAGGTGAAGAATGCATAAAAAACTTTATTTAAAATGTAGTCACTTCTGTCCTACAGAAGCAAATTTTGTCTTTAAAAATCAAAATATAAAAATATTTTGCTTAGAGCGTGTGTAATTTTTTAAAAGCAGACCTAAAGTAACAGTTCAGTCCTGAGCAGGGTGGGTTTATATTCTTACTGTTATTTGTGAAAAATGAACTGATTACTTGTGCCAGTTTGTACCATGCCAGACTTTACTGAAGAAACTCAACTACACAATTTTAAATACTAGATTGTACTGTCAGAAAGGAGCTGTCCTTTTGCAAATATTAGTATTTACTCTTCATAGACTGCTTCAATCTTTTGTTTAAAAATTCAGTGGATTGATATTCCAAACAGACGGGATAACTGGACTCATGAGACATTTGGTGTCTATAGCACAACGGTAAAAGTATATTCTATACATGTAGGTTATTTGCTCTTCATGAGTGAAAACTGTGTGCTTATATGAAAAAGCAAATTTGACTCCAATGTGGAAAGGTTGGGTTAAAGAATTTGGGTCTTTAAGTGTTCATTTCCCAGGGTTTTTTTTCATAATTTTTAATATTGATTAAAAGTTTGCTAAAATTAAGGATGCAGTTGGCTAACACCAACAGAGGATACACCAAGCAGTCTGAAAGCTTTCCTTCAAGTAAGCTGTTTGCTGACTAGGTGATACGGGGAGAATTTATAGCCTGGCTGTCAAATCCTCCTTTGTAGCGTGATTACTAAACTTTTCTGTTTGTACTTGCAGGCCTCTGGCTGTGATGGCACTGAGATTCCTGATGAAGTGAAACTGATTGGGTTTGCTCAGTTAAGTGTCAGCTGATGTCTGTCCCTTGACCCCAAGCCGAATTGTGAGATTGCGAAGAGGCCAGCTTAGATGCAAAGGAAAATTAATGCACCACACACTGAGTTCTGCTTCATTCTCTAGCAATTCACAAATTCAGAACAAGCAAAGCCCACAGCTACACCGCTGCTGCTAACATTCAAAATGCTACTAAATGTCTCTTAGCAGTTGATTTGGATTCCCCCTAAAAAAGCCTGTGGAAATGCACTCAGGTGGCTGTATTTATTGGTTACAAAAGGAATTTTCTATCAAGCTTACTTCTTTCATAAACTTTGAGTGATACTATTTTACCTGTACTTGTGGTTGATAATACTGCCTCTGTTCTGTTACATTTAGAAATTAACATAAATATAAAAGTTAAGAATTATTAGCCAAACTTGAATTCTGGTTTTAAAACTTGACTGTGAATTTTATTTTTCATATATTTATGCATTACACATCCTAGTAAAAAGAAAATGATTTGACTTGATCATGTGCTATTTGCAGTTAATCTCCCATTATTTAAAAAAGTTTCAGGTATATCTTTGAAGTATTTGGTAACTTCTAGGGGGGGTTTGAAATTAATTAATTAGGCATTAGCAAGCTTTTGTTGGTTGTGTGTCTGGAGTCCACAAACTGATTGTTAAGGGAGTAGGAGGTGCCTTGCAGACATTGTTTTAAGAATGTGCCTGAGGCTGCTTAAATAAATAATCTCCATTTTCTAGAAGTACCATACATATGGTACAATATATAAAAAATATATATAGTTATCTGAACAAGGAGGGGATATACAGTAGCAAAGGTGTTAGAGTATTTTGACTATGCTTTATCGGGGAGTCTATGAGCTAGAACTACTTTGAACTGTTGTCATTAAGGTAGACTGCTTACTGTCTCCATCTCTGATCCAACTTATCCTTAATGATAGAAACCGGTTTCATACAGGTGATAAAAACTTGAAGAATGGAACTGAAGCTTTACTTGATGTTCTGCAAAATACCAAGGTGGAGTGAAAATAATAGGGCTTTGTGCAATGATCAAGTAAAACTCTGTTACAAAGAAAACACTTCTGACCTGAGTAGTCTTATGCTTAACCTGTGACATAGATGTTATGGAGCTAGTGAACCTTAGACAGACTTTCAAATTTGGAGACGTGTTTCTCAGAGGTTACAATTTAAACTACTTCCTAGCTAATCCTAGATAAGCGGCAGCTCTTTAATGTACTGAAAATGGCAAATATATATTATTAAGAGAGGTTATTTATAATGCCTTGTCATAATCGTTGAGGTGTTCTTAGAGCCATTTGCATATGACTCAATGTAATCCCATCCCATCCTACTGTTTACATGATGATTACTCCAAGATGACTGCAAAGGTTAAAAAAATAAAATGAAAATAAAAGTGTATTGCACAAACATACTTGTATTTTGAATTTCCATGCTCTGTGTGCATTTTGATGGCTGTGGGGCAGGGTGATGTTATAAATGTCTGCTGCCCTTATTTGGTTTACGAGCAGCACCTGGGGGAGGAGAAGGGGAGAAAACACTGCTTGCTTGCTCATGGCAGAGGGCTGCTCTTGACTGCTTGCTATCCAGTTCTTTGCAAAAGCCATTTTTAAGACTCCTGAGGTGTTTGTACTTCAGGAAATCATTCGGTTGTTCAGGGCAGGACCTGTGTGCCTGGGGGATAGTGGTTTGTGTGGGGAAGAGGGCGAGAGAGGCCCAGGGCAGGGCCAGGGCTGACACCTGCTGCCCCCAGCCCAGCTGCGGGGCTGGTGGCCGCAGCTGAGGCTGGTCGGGGCAGTTCCGTCCCTCCTCGGGCCATCGGTGCCCTCGGGTCCCTTAGTGCGGCGAGCCCCAGCCCCCGGGGTGAGGGGCTGGGGGCTGCACCGTGTGGTGGAAGGGCGCTGTGCTGCGGTGGGGCCGGGCATGGCCTGCAGCCAGCTGAAGGCAGTGAACAAAACCGGTAAGCGTGCCTTTCCTCGGTGGCAGAAGTGGCGTGTCTTTCCTTAGCTTTGGGGTGTCTTTGCAGGCGCGGGTGTGGTAGTATTGATAATGTGCTCTGTATCTCTTCCACGTCAAGGGTATCTTACCTCCGTGCCCTATAACGGGCTGTTTATCTCGTGCCCGACTTTGGTTAATGCTTTGTCTTGGCCAGCTTGCACGCGCCTTGCTGCGGGCTCCCCGGGGCCGGCCGGCGGAGGAGCCGGGCAGGGGACTTGTGGCAGCCACCAGCGGCAGCGCGGCGAAGGCTGTGCCTCCGGGCACCCGCCGGTCTGCGGCCGGGGAGCCTCTGGCTTGGCTGTGCTGGGCGAGAACAGAGGGCACTGCGTCACATCTGATCGGGGGAGCAGGTTGCAGTTTGGCGGCTAACTATTCATTGGCAACCTTTGCGTTGGAGTAAGAGTAAATGAAAAGGTACCTTAAGCGTGCGTCTACCAGTGAAACAGTTGACAGCCTGCAACACTGATGGCTACTTGAGCAGGACCTGAAGGAGTTAAGTTCAGAGCATTGCTGTAAGGTTATTTTTGTTACATACATTATGTATGCTTCTCAAAATGTTGCACCAGTATTGACTAATCCACCTGCAAAGTAGTTAGCTGGTTAGCTTTCTTTTCCAGGCGAAGAAATGAACGTTCGGGAAAGCTTGTTGTTTTCGCAGATCTATAAAAGAAGTGGGAATACATAGTTGGATGAAAATTGTGTTCCACTCGCTATACGCCTCCCTGAAGGCTGGGGAAAAGGTGGCGGGGTATGAGTAGCAACTGTCAAAAGCACTCATCTGCTGTACTGGTTGGGGCTGCAGGAGGTACCTAAATAAAGAAGAACGTAATGCTTTAATTGAAGCAGTCTGCAGTATTGTACCAAGATAAAGCTGTAACAGTTGTTGCTCACTTACAGTCTGGTGCAGAAACATGCCAATGCTTCATAGAGCTTCCATGGTTCAGTGAGACAGCAAATTCATACAGCAGTGTTATTTATCACAGCTGTGTTGGTGCTGCTTTTTTAATTATTTTTTTTTGCTGCTGTTAAGGTATTGTGAATAAATACAATGTGAGCAAAATTAGTTCAGAAGGACAATGACCTGAAAGAAAAGGTAGTTGCAGCTTTAGTGTCTGTTAAAATTAAGTTCATAAGTAGTTTATTGTCACAGCTATATATGGGTGAAAAAGAGGTAAAAATATACAGTAGGTTGCAGTAGAAAGCAGTGTGCAAGTGATGATAGAGTAGAAATAGCCACCAAATGTAATAGGCATTTGCTTCCTGAATACTATATTCACATCCTCTGTTGAATAACAAGGCAAAAGAGAAAACCAGCAAATATTCATTTATTCATGTTTACATGAAAAGCATTTGGGAGATGGGTGTTAAAGAAGTGCGGTTCGGTCTGGGCGTGTGGTGTTAGTCACGCCACAGTTCAAACCCTAGGTTTCCTGAAGCAGAGTCTCAGGCATCGAGTCTCATAAAAAGAAATAATTTAATAGAGTGGTACAGGAGCAGGATTTGCTCGAGCTGGATGCCTCCAGGGCGGGACCCCAAACAAGGAAATCCCTGGGCAGCTATACCCTTACAGACTATACATCTGCCCTTCACGCGATCTCCACGCACCTTTCAAGCACCCTTTGGTCCAATAGCGATTCTGGTCTGAGATCTTCTGGCACCTTCTGTCTCCTTATTGGATTCCTTCACTGTCTCCAGACAAGCTGTTATCTTGACTAGTTGCAGCTGCTGTTGACCTTCCTTATCTTCTGCTTTGTGCTGGCTCTGAAGGCCTTGTCTTGCTTGAATAGGTACAAGTTCAGTACAAGTTCAGCAAGTCTAGGGGAAAGTTTACAGCTTGCAGCCTAAGGCTTCAGCAAATCTAGCTACTCATGCTAAGTCAGTCAACAGCATACTAAATCACACAACATTACAGGTCTAAGCGATTCACTTATTTAAGCCGAACGACTAATATTACTTAACAATGGGTACGGTTCTCACGTATGACATGACTTGTCCCAAAGCAGTTGTGGTGCTGCTGTTAGAAAGGTGTTGCTGGACAATACCTTGGGCCTGTTGATGGCTGGAGCACCTGGCTGCGTTTGAAGGAAGAGGTCTCTAATTAACAAGGTGAAGCTGGAACTGGTGAGCTACCATATAGCTGTCTCTGAGGCCAGGAAAATAGGACTGAATTAGATGGTTCTAAAAATACAGTCATCTGTAGTGATGATTATATGCCAGTGCTTGCAGCTGGGCACTTGCAGGCTCTGTGGGCTGATGAATGTCAATGTCCATGGAGCCAGCCCTGCCAGTGTGCTCCTCTTTAGCGTGCCGAAAGTAGCTCTGTGCTGTGGACTGAGATGGAAGTCAGTCGGTGAAACACAGTTCTGTATTTATTATTTTCAAAGTGTTAAAAAGGATGAATATAAACATAGAATTTAGCTCAGCACAAAACCAGGTCTGGAGAATAACTGGTTTGTGCATGTGTAAAGGAGTGGGAGAGGAGGGACATTTCTAGCCTTTTATCTCCTGGGGCTCCAGCGTGGGCTTCAGGTCGGGAAAGCTGCCTCCCACTCTGGCAACATATGCTTTGCGTGCCAAGAGAACAGGAGTGCATGTCTCCTTCCGCTGACAAGCACTGACCTCAGATATTCCCACTGACAAAGAGAGAGAGTTGCATTCAAACTGCAATGCAGCTAGCTAGTTGTGATAAATATTTTTGCTTTCTAGAAATATTATCATATGTGCTACCAGAATTTCCTCTATAGACCTCCTCGCCCTAGAGCACAATTCTGCCTTGTGTGTGGAGGTGGAAGGGGGAGCAGGGAAATAAGCCAGGAAACATCACTGAATTTTCTCTCCCCCACATTCTCTCCTGAGATAAATATGAATGTGTGCCTTTTCAGCCAGCTTGGTCTAATTTAAAATCTGCAATTTGGGGGCTTCCAGAGCAGTCCTGTAAAATTTGATTGTGGGGCATCCCTTCAGAATGTTTCTAAACACGATTATTTCTCTGCGAGGGAATGCTGTGTGCAGCTTGTAAATGGTGTGCCTCCCCCTCATGCTTTTCTTAATCAGAGATTTGTTTTCCTTTTCACCACCTACCTCTGCATAATGATGTTGGATGGTGAGATTGGCCTGTGCCTGAAATCAATTAGCTCTGATGATGAATCTGACACAGACCTAAAACACTGCTAATTGAGTGCATGGAAAATGCTGATTTCTATTTAGCAGGGAACAGAGGATGCCCCCCCCCCCCCCAGTGCTTTTTCAAAGTAGAAAAAAAAAAATGAGACCTTGTTGATAACAAATAGCAGTTGGTATTTTCTTTCCTCTGGATCAATCATGATATAATTTTATTAAGTCAATTGCTGTGGGTTTTTCCACTGCATCAAGTGGGCAGCCTTTCCACCCTCTTGCAACGTACTCATGCATGTGCATGCACTAAGAATGCTAATTACTTTAAAATGAGAAGTTGGAAAAGCAGCACAAGCCTACATCTTTGAGTTCCCTGTGCATGTGCTCTGCTAATGAGCTGATGGAGCAGCTGGATTTACTCAAACCACAAAAACCCCAACAAAGTCTGGTTTACTTGTGTTTTATTACATAATGGTCCAAATGATGGAATACCCAGCCATATTGGTTGAGCATTTGACATTTTAGTTATTCATTTTCCCTCAATGACTAAGAGTAACATTACAGTGCACATAAAAATGTGTTTTTATAGCTGCTTTATGATTGTTAGACTGATGCTCGTCAAACTGCTTGCATAGTCACTGTAGTCTGAGATGTTGAACCAAACTCTAGTTGCAAAGTTGTCTGCTTCTAATAATATTCAGAATATGGGCAATGGTGGATCAATGAGCGATTACAGGGACTTGGAAGAGTGTATGGTAAGAAGAAGAAATATTTAATTTTCACTGCATAAACCAATAGGGAGGCAATCTTGTCCTTCTCAGGACATGAATATTTTGCCATCTAATTTTCAAATATGAATTTGAAAGGCTGTGCTTGTTTATTGTCTCAGTAGGGTGTAGAAAATCACTTACGCAAGTGGATGCATTTATGCAAAGGAAAAGCTATGAGAAATAGAATTGGATTAGATGGAAAATACATGCCTCTCCTTTTTTATTTTTTACACATAAGTAAAAATTTTAAGAATTAATGAAAACCAGCTACCTTTCAAATATGGAACATGTATTTATTTATTAATTCATTTATTCTGGAAAGAAACTAAATGGTTATTTGGTTCTTTTTCATCCATGTAATAATTCAGATTCATTAAGGAAAGATGCTGCTTATGCATAGGAGTGCTGGGGTTCTTTAGATTTACTTTGAGCAAAAGGCTTTTCTAGTTTTGTCATGTTTACTCTGCATCTGTAGACCCTATAGATCTACTTTGTTTCCTTTGAGGACAATTGAGGTGTGACATCTCAAC